GGTTGGAAAAGCCCTCTAAGATCACTGACTTCAGCATAGCACTGCCAAACCCACTGCTAAGCCATGTTCCCGAGTGCCACACCTACATGTTTTTTAACACTTCCAGGGACAGTGATTCCACCATTTCCCTTGGCAGCCTGTTCCAGGGCTTGACAACCCATCCAGAAATTTTTCCCAACACCTAATCTAAACCTCTCCTGGCCCAGCTTGGGGCCATGTCCTGTGGTCCTGCCACTTGTTATCTGGGAGGAGACATCAACACCCACCAGGCTACAGCCTCCTCTCAGAGTTTTGGAGAGCAGCCCAGCACCTCTGGTATAAACCATATTCTCTCCCACATACTCACCATTCAGGAAAAAATGACAAAACATTCAGCTAAGCACAGCTGATTTGCAAATGTCACATTGTGCTGCCAGATGAGATGTGGCAGTGTCCCTGCAGGCTCCTCCTGCTCCCACCGTGCGTGACCACCCGCTCTGCAGAGCAGGGATCTGCTGGTCCTGAGGGACAAAGCCCCTGCAGGTGTGTGAGGCACAGGCAGATAAAGCCTTGTGCTTTACACAGTTTTTGTCAAGCTCACAGCAGGCTGATGGGCTTTCAGCTAGGTTAATTTGAAAGCAAAGACAAGAAACAGTTGATACAATGCTAATACACGCAAATAAAAAAAGTAATAATTTGATTTTCCTCATCAGCTGCTATTAGAAATCTCTGCTTTGAATGCAGCACCCCATTATCCCCATTACAAGCCCATTCCAAAGCACTTAAAGGCTCCCTTTGATTTAAATGGCATTTGGTCAAACTTTATGTAGCAACAAGCTGGTATTCTAAAAATGCCCAGACTTTCTACAGCTCTTTGCAACAGCCCTAGGAAGCATTGCCTCCAGGACCATTAATTCCAGGAAGGCTGCAATTACCAGGAACAATATCTCTCTATTTGCACAACATGTATTTTGCATCAGCTCTAGCTGTGTCAAACAAATCTGATTGTACTTGAGAATCCCTGAGCATGGGGAAAGGCCACAAGCCCATGGTGTGGCACTTCAGGGGTCATCCCTGCTGTCAACTGTGGCCCATATAAGTGATGCCAGCCACAAAAACACACGTGGGCCCTGGTGAGCAAGGCAGAGAGCTGTGCCTGAACCTTCTGGCTCTTCAAACTCAAGCAGTAAAGCTTTCAGCCATCACTTCCGAGCTCTCTTCTGCCCACGTCTACAGCTGCAAATGGAAAATACAAAACACTTTGCCATTAATCACAGAGCTGGTGGTTCAGTCAAGGTTTCATTCAAAGCTAAGGGAATCCTGCTTAGTCACTAAATGCAGTTTAACTTCATTCTGCACCATGATAAATGAAGTAGTCTCCACTTAGGAAGGCTCAAAGTTAATTAAAATATGCCCTTAATGAGCAATTAGGCCCAAATGCAGGCACTTCAGGGCAGGGGGAATGCCTGAAGCACCACCCACAAAGCCCCTGCTTTCAGCTGAGGCATCCTTGGGTTTTGCCTCGGACTCAGGTCTGATCTCCTTTAAAGGTGGAAGTTTTAAGTTTTCCTTGGAGCTTTAAGAGCTGGATTTTTTTTTTCTGAAATCAAAAATAGCTGCTTTAGTCCTAACTTCAGAGTTAAAGACCTTTTTAGAAACTGATTTTGCCACCTTGCTCATAGCCCTGCAGCATCTCCCTGTTTGTGTGCAGCCCTTCAATCTCTTGTCTCCCACATTGCAGCCCCTGGCTGAGAGAGCCCCATCCGTGGTCTATCCCTGCCTGTAATCACTCTGCACAGGCTCATGTTTTCCTTTGTTTATCACCATCTCTCTTGCTGGCTGTGTGGGCACAGAAAGGCCCCTCCTGGCTGGGAGAGGCTCTCTGTGCTGCAGGAGTTTCTGAGCAGCTCCTGCACTGCACAGCTCTGACCACTGAGCTGTTCCTTCCTGGCCTTTGGTTTCAGCTGATGGGTACCTTTGTCATTTAAAGATGTCATGGATTGACAAGAAAGGAAAGAGTGGGACCGTTTGTAAATTCTGGTCATGACTTTCTGTGTCCAAATGCATTTGCGCTTTGTAGCAGGAGGAGGCTGCATGATCATGCAAGCAAAATTGCCATGAATGCTCACAGTTTGCTTGTGAACTGGATGTGAAGTCTGAGACTGAAAGCTGCTGGTGGGATTTGGATACCAATTCCCCATTCAAATTAATCCAAATCCCTTTGGCAGTTCCGATGATCTCAATAAATGAGATTTTTCTGCCAGTGACTTCAAATGCAGAGCCTGCCGTGAGATTGGCCATGGAAGCAGCATGGCTTTTGTCTCTCTCTGTGACCTAAATTCCTAGATAAGGTTTTCTTTCTTGTCTGGAAGCACTTCTGAACAGGCAGCAACTTCTGCAGGCTTATCCTGACCAGCGATTCCTCAGGGGCTGTTCTGCAGAGAGGGAAAGAGGGGGAGCATTTTCTGATGGCCCAGGTGTGCATCCGTGGGGTGAACAGGGAGAAAAGTGCTCTGTGGCCTGTAGTTACAGGCCACGTTATTCCACCCAACAACATCCAATTTTTTTTCCTTTGGTAGGACTGCAGGCTCCCTCAGCAGCTGGCAGAGAGGCAGAGAGGCTGTGACAGGGGAGTGACAAGGCTGCCCCAATCCCCATCCCCTCCCTGAACCAGCCCAAAGTACATCTGCAGCAGGTTGGTGATGTACAGCTGCAGAACTGCCTTATCCAGGGAATTGGTGCCTATTTAAGCATGCAGTGATTTCACAAGGACCAGCATGGTCATTTCCAGAACAGCTGATGGTGAAGAAGGTGAGGACTGTGCTTTTCAAAACAGGGTTTAAGTGAACTTGAATGGAGACAAACCTCCCTATCTGCTGCCTCTGTCCTGTGTTAAACCAGCTTTTCTTTTCTTACCTGTCACAGCTTCTCCTCAGCAGCTGGAATTGCTCACCCTGGGGCTCCTGGCCCTGTCACTCCTGCTGGGAGCTGCCCTGCTCCCTCCCTGGCACCACCAGCCCCACATTTCCCTCCTCCCTTCCCTGCCTTGCCACTTCTGTTACCCTAATTGCCCACGTCTCTTTGCCCCTATCTTTGCTCCATCCCAGCAGCTTTGGCTCCTCTTGAAAAACCCATTTGCTTGAGCAGAATCTCAGTTTTCACTTAAGAAAAAGTATTCTCCAGAAAGAGCCAGTTCACTGCAAAGCTTCACTGCTCCAAACTTGCCTGCACCTGGAACTAACACTGTGTTTTTAAATGGTCCCAGCTCTGAGCCCAGCCCTGCCACCACCCCAGCCCTGCTCCCAGTCCTACATTGGAGAGTTGGAGGCTTTCCCCAGCTGCAGCTCTCACCTGCTGCTGTGCCTTTTTGCTCTGGACAGAAAAAGTGATGGGTTTCAGGGTGTAGAGACTTGCAGGACTGTGACAGCTGAGGAGTCCCAGCCCTGGGCAGCAGCTGCAGAAGGGGTGAGGTGTGAAGGCCTTTGGTGACCTGGGAGAGTGAGAAGGTGCTTGCATGGCAAGTCACAGCCCACGTGCTGTGGATCAGCCCAGCACTAAAAATAATGCCCTGTGGAATGCAGGATGGAAACAACAACTGGATGGAAGGATTTTATTTGTTTCCTCTGTCAAAAGCAGTGATACATGCAGTTGGCACAAGACTTGTTAGGGATTAGAGTCATAAATATTCACATGGAGAGAAATTTAAGTGACAGCAGAGCAGTGAGGACAAGCATTGCTTAAACCCCAGCATCTACCTGAGAAGGGAGGGGCAGGTGTGGAGGAGGCAGAGCAGGCTGGGACCTCCCGGGTTCAGCTTTCTCCAGCAGCTTTAATGAATGCTGGAACCACCTTCACTTCCGTTCTTGCAGTGTGGTTAGTTCAAAAACAGAGCTGAGAAGCAGCTCAGCTCCATAGCACTAATGAGTTTCAACAGGAGAAAAAAATATTTGAGGTAAGAGATGTGACGCTGAGAAGCTCAAACACTCTCACCTTTTGATCCTTGAGCATATTTACACTCATGTTGGTGCTGAGTAGAAATTGCTTTTTCATTTAATCTGCTTGAGGGTGGTTTGGAAATCACTTGTGAGCATTTTTATAATTGCAGCTTTCCAATGCTGTTTTTCATCTTAGCTGCTGTTGAGCAAACAGCCTGGTCCCTCTGCTCTCTGCTGTGCCAAAACATTTATTCCTAGTAGTAGTAATAATTAGACTGGTATTGCTTTGCAGTTTTCTCAGCTACATCTCCTGACTGGCTGTGGAGAGTGTGGCACCAGACACAGGTGGGTGAGGTTGCTCTGACTGCAGGAGAAAGTGCCAATGGCAGCTCCTCTGATGGAGAAGTCTCTGTGTGGCAGTGACTGGGCATGTGCCCGCTACCCCATGCCAGGAGTTCCCAGCCTTGTGGGAATGCTTCTCATCCTAGAGACATCCCATGTAGCAATACCATCAGCATGAATTGTTTGTATATGCTGTGTGCTGGGTGGTTGGGACATGCACATTTGATTTTTTTCCATGATTCAGTCTGGCAGCACGAAGCAAAGCTCAGTCAACATCATCAGCATGGTCAGCTAGGTGAGAACACAGAAGCACAGGTATGAAGGGAAACACAGGTTACTATTTCACATTCAGGTTCTATCAGCACCAGCCCAGCACTCCTAGGCTGCCCCTCAGCCAAGGCTGCTCTTCTGAGCCTGCAGAGCTCTGTGTGGGCTCATGGGCCCCCACACCTGAGCAGCAAATCCCGTGGGTGCCCGTGGTGTGCAGCCTGGCTGGGACAGTGCAGAGTCCAGCTTGATGCCTGTTTACAGCTGGCTCCACAACAGCCACAGCCCCAGCACAGCAATGCCCACCAGGGCTCCCAGCTCTCCTCCTGCCAGGGCTAAGTCCAGGAGAAAAAGGAACAGAGTTGTGACAGGGTAAGCACCAGGAAAATCCCCACCCAAGGAGTTGTAATATTCTCCACCTTGCCCTCCAGCAAATCCTCATAAAAGACTTCTTATGATTTTTAAGAAATAATTCTTTATGCTACTGCTCTAATGGGTGACCTCTCCAGTGGGATCCTGGTGCTGAGGCAGGGATCTGTGTTGGGTCTCCCAGCAAATGTGTGTGTGTCAGAGAGAGTGCATTTCCTACTGTCCGAGTCTTGGGCAAAGGGTTCTTTTTTGAATAACTGAACTCAAGTGTCAGCAACATCTGCCTGCTTGGCACTGGCTGGGAAGCACTGGTATTTCAATGTTCCCACTTCTTCTCCAGCACAGATGGGATTTGTGTTCTCTTCAGCTCTCTCCAGCTTTTCTTCATGCTCAGGGCAGTTCTAGGCAGTATGTGGGAGGAGATGCTTTATGAACTGTTGCCTTTCCAAAATGAAAACTGATTGCTGTTTCCTTAGCAGATGAGACCCTGAATTGTCCCTTTGCCCACGGATGAGGGATATGATGGATCACAAGAGTCTGCCTGACTCGCATGCATGTTCAAGCCATGTTTTCTGTGTGAGGACTCCAGGGAGAGCTGCTAGAGCACAGGGTGGTTATATCTTGTGAATAAAATTATTCTAAGCAGCTACTTCTTCACACTTCAGCAATGGCTGGGAGCAAACAAGCTTTTATCTTTGCTTCTTTCCAGATGCATCTGTGCTCTGAAATCCAGTTATGGATGGTGGCTTTTTTAGGTACCTGGAAAGACTCGAAGTATCTCTGCCTAGTGGGAACATCACCCATGACATTTTTGTCACAGTGAGAAGTTTTTCTTCCTTCTTTTTCATCAATGCCTGCAGTATTGAACAAATTCTGCCTTCCTACAGAGCAGGGCAGGGCTGGGTTTCCTGCCACCTTCCCTCTGGCTGAGGGTGCCAATTGCTCTTCAGTGTTAATGAACATGGGGCCGTTTTCCTTCTGACCGTGGTTATTCCCTAAAACTGTTCCCTCATCCCTTCTGAGATACCTCAGCTCTGGGCATACTGCTTCTTTCTGAACTGGTCTTGGGGAGGGAAGCCTTGGAAAACTGAACACTCGTGGAAAACTGGTTTTCCCTGTGTTTTTTATTTCCTGGTTTGTGGGATGAAGGTCACCATCTGGGGCAGAAGAGTTGCATTGTGAGTAACCAGTGCTGGCACTTTCACCATAGGAAGAAGCATTGGAGGAGCAAAGATTTCCTGTATTGGTGTAAATTTGTTCCAGGGGGTCCTCTCTGGACCAAAAGTTGGTTTCTGCAGGTGGGACTTTTCCCAGTGGCACCACACTAGAGATGAAATTGGTCAATTTACATTTTGACCTTTCCTGCTGTGTCCCCACAAGCGGTGGAGAACCTGACACATCCTCGAGGGTCTTCAGGGTCTTTCTGTCCTTACCCTTACGTCTGCTTTCCAGAAGGGCTGGGAAGGTGGGTCTGGCGAGGTGGCAGATGGATTGGATGTAGTCATCACTGGAGTAGGAGTCTGGGCTGGCTGCAGCACTGCCAGCACACTTGGGGTTGCTGCTGGGATCCTCCATCGCTTCCTCGTGCGTTTCCCGTATGGTTGGGAGAGGCTTTGAAAGGCTCAGTCTGATCCGGGGTGCCATGGCTGCAAAGAACAGAGCAGACCTGATCAGCATGTGAAAACCTGCTCTGGTAAAGAAACCCTGGGCTTGTTTCTACCTGAGCCACCTGATGTCTTCTTGAGGTAAACACTGCTGTTAACAAAAACCGCTTTTGAAAAGTTTGCTGGCAGTATTTTATACCCATGGCTTTATAAACAGCTTCGTAAATGTGCCAAAGAAGCCAAGTCATTAAATGGGGCAGTAAATAGAAGGTTCATTAAGGAGATCAGCAATGGTGCTCCCTCCCTCCTTAAGCAATGCAAGGGAGCACAGCTGGAGAGGTGTGGGGCAGGGACATGAACTTGTCCCACTGCCCTTGTGGAGCAGCAAGGCACAAACTGCTGTCCTTATTTAATGCTCCAGGTCTGATCACTGTGACAGGGCTCTGACTTCACCCTTAGTCCCAGCAGGAGCTGAACCCAGCAGGAGAGGAGCTGCCCTGTGGGAAGCACCACCTACATAAAGCAACATTACAGTGGTCTCTTCTAGAAGCTGTAGGTGAGAATGTACAGGGTCGCTTTTATCCATAGTTCATAAATGTAGTTACAGAGAGGTAGGTCCTCCCCTGAGTGCTTACACAGAGTCAAAGAGATTTAGTTAATGTCCTTTATATTCAAATAGTCACCCTCAACTCATTTTAGGATGGATTTCCATCAAACTGCTCCCACTACTCAGTTAAATATATTGAATTACAAATTTTTCAGTATATTTTGTGCTGTAGTGTTTTCTAACTTACTGATTTTTTTTTTTTCTCCAAACACTCCCCCTGTGCTTTGCTTATCTCCCCTTCTGGCAGAAATGACCATATAGCCTGGATTTTTTTTTTCTGCTTCCTCCAATGAAATTTGTATGTGACTAATCTGCAGACACAATATAGCTTTGTTGTGTGATTAAACGCAAAAGTGCTTTGCTGGCTATTTTAATGCCTTGCTTGTCACTGCTGGAAATAAATCTGGCTTTGTTGAACCTCCCTGCAAAGCTGCAGATCACACACGGAGCACAAATGAGCAGCTCGTGCCGAGCCCAGGGTAGGGCTCGCCGGGTGCCCATCCCTCCCTGCCCATCCCTGCTTTTCCTCATGTGCTGCTGGTAAAGCCAGCCAAGCTGGGATTTGCTGACCTGAGAGGAGGAGATGCTTGTTTTAAACCTTAGAGCCCTTTTATTATCCTTTTTCCTGCCTGCTCCGTTTCTCTCATGTCTTCAAGCCTTGAAGAAAAGGCTTCTTCATCCCTTCCCTCCCAGCCTTGCCTGAGCTGGGCAGCGTCAGAGCCTGGGCCCGGCGGTGAGAGCGGAGGATGCTCCTGGCGAGGGGCGCGGGCATGTCGCGTTAAATCCCGACAGCGCTAATCGGTAACTGAGTCCTGCCAACACGCCCTTCCTCCGGAAGGAAATTTAAATTACCTATTTGCAGGTAAAACACTCTCCCGATGATGGCATGGATCAGGTCCCGCCCGATGCGATCGCCTTCGCCCTGGGCACCGCGCTGGCACGGCCGAGGTCACCTCCCCGCCACCCGCGGCCCCCGCGGAGCTGGACCCGCTGCCTGCAGCTTCCCTTCCACCGTGCCGTGAGCATCCCCGGCTGCCAGCACCGCGGATATCCCTAGCGACCCCCGCCACAGCCGGTGGCCAGACCCCCTCCCCTTACCTGCGGGCTCGGGCGCTGTCGTCTCCCGCGGCTGCACGGCTCTGCCCCGCTCCCTGCTCGCGTTTCCAGCACGGGAGATGCTGGCTGACACTAACCCATGCGCCAGCTCCCTGCCTCAGTCAGCTGATCCCGCTGCCTGTTTTGTTGCTGTTGCTAAATATATCCCGCTGGCTGCCTGCCCTGCCCGAGCCGCAGCCGGCGGGCGCCGAGGCACCGGGGCAGCCGCGGGCACCGGCCGGGACCGGGCATCCCGCATCCCTGCCGCTCCGTGTGGAGGGGACCGCCATCCCGCATCCCTGCGGCTCCGTGTGGAGGGGACCGCCATCCCGCATCCCTGCGGCCCCGTGCCTGGCCGCGATTCCCCGTGTGGAGGGGACCGCCATCCCGCATCCCTGCGGCCCCGTGCCTGGCCGCGATTCCCCGTGTGGAAGGGACCGCGGGGCCGCGGCCGTGATGCGGGAGGGGAAGGGCTGCCTGTGCTCCAAGCTGGGCTGGGAGAAGAGGAGCCATAGTTCCTTCATACTTTATTGCTGGAAGAGGAATCCTTAGGGTTTGGGGCTGTTTTTCTTCCTTCTCTGCCTTATTTTGTGATCATATTTGTGCCGGTTTTCCCAAGAGGCAGTGGGGTGTTTGCAGCTCCTTTAGTGCTGCTCGCTGCTCTATTCTGTCCCTGCTTCCATTCTGCTCTGAGCCAAGCATCCCTAGGCCAAGCTGTGCATCCCTGGGCTGAGCCACACATCCCTGGGCTGAGCCACACATCCCTAGGCTGAGCTCTGCAGCCCTGGATTAGATTAAAGCCCTACATCCTGGGCCAAGCTGTACATCCCTGGGCTGAGTTTTATCTCCCTGGGCTGAGCTGTACCTCCTTGGGCTGAGCTCTACATCCCTGGGCTGAGCTCTACAGCACTGAGCTGAGCTGCACACCCCCGGGCTGAGCTCTACATCCCTGGATTGAGCTGCATATCCATGTTGCTGTGGAGGCACAGCAGCAGCCAGCCCTGCCATGGCACCTCCCAGGGCTGTGTTCCACCAAGCCCCCTCTCCCACTGCTCCCAGGATCATCCCCATTTGTGTTTCTCTGAGACCACACAAGTGCATTACAGCAAATTGCTTTGCCGGGAGGATGGCAGCATCCAACATTTGCCTTTGTTTCCTGGCTTATTAACATGCTGCAAACTGATTGCAATTCTGGAGTAACCCCGGTGTCCCTCTCATAGCCTCTCTTGCAGCATCACATTGCGTGGGGAGATGAATTGTTATGTTGTAGCAGATTCTTCCTTCTGTATTTATTTCCCAGCACCATCCTCAGAGGCAGCCCCAACAGCTGCTGCTCTTTCCCGGGGAATAGCCATCCCACACGACATCCCTGTGTGCCCAGGCCAGGCAGTGTGACTGCATTTCTGAGCCTTGCTGCTCCCCACAGTGCCTGTCCTGACCTGCTGGAGGGATGAAGAGAAAAGTAGAAATCCTAGATTAAAAAATCACTGCTTTAGTTTTATTGCAAATATTCTGTGTTACCAGCATTCAGGTTGGAATTGGCTGTAGCAGCTGATTTAGTCACCCAAGCCCACACTCATCATTCAGGTTTTTTCTTTGTCTCCACTAAAAAGAAATAAGCAGCTCAACAGATTTGTGCATCCCTTTGGGATATGGTTCCAAGCAGATTTTTTTTTTTTTTCTGGAAATAGCCATTGCTTATTTTTTCAATATAACAGGTATGTAAGCTTAAGCTGTTTGTCTGGACTTCTGGTGCCAAACAGCTGAATTTATCTGAAATGACCCACAACCTTTCATGCATTAAATTCACTAACAGCAATGATCATCAGGGATCATGCTGTAGTAACTCAGGGCTTCAATTTTTCCTTCTTGCTTGCAGGAAACATGATTACCATCAAAAGGGAAAAACCCTCAGACACCAACTATGCTAAGCAGCTGCAGTATGGAGCTTGGGAAAAACATGTTGTGAGGAAGATCACTGAGCTGAAAACAAATTCCACATGTGCCGATGGAATTCTCTTTAAAAAGAGTCTTCAAGATCGTTTTCTGGCCTGTTAAGTCTCTCCTCCCTGCTGGAGTTACCTCCTTCTTAAAGGTATGATGGAGTGAATACAACATGCCAGATGGGAAGGACAAATATAATATAACATAATTTTTTTTTTTTTACCTCAACCACCACCATTTGCTTTCTTCTTTCATCAGCTGCATTCCCACCCCCACCCCCAAACAAAAAAAAATTCTTAGTTTAAAAGAAGCAAGCTGCAACTTTGAATGCTTGCTCCAAGAACGCCACAGGTTCCTCCCAAGCATTTGTGAGGATGGTTCTGGATAAATCATCCCAGTTTCCTGTATTTATACTCTGTAAGGGTGCAATGAATCAGCATTCATGGGTGCATGAAAACTGTCACCAAATGGGATTAATGACAAAAGAAAACAGCAACAGCAGCAGTACCTGAGCTGCAGAGGAAACACCAGTTGTAAGTTCTGCAGGGCTTGGTGGAGTGTCTGAGATATAAATGCTGACAGTTATTTTTTGGTTTAGTTTTATGTTTGTTGGTTTTAGTTTTTTTGGAATGCTTCCAGCTTTTGGGAAATCCACGCAGTTTAGGTAAGTGTAACAGGTGATTCTTCTCTGGGCATTTTTGAAGCTTGTTGGCTCTTGCCAGGGCTGGGGGATAGGGTTAACACAGCACTGAGCATCTCCAGACCTCAGTGCAGATCCTCCTTGAAGGTGCATCAACAACCTGGAAGGGCTGTTCCTCTCTTGCATGTGGGAGAGTGACTTTTTACAGGGCAGGAATTGAATGGGACCAGGGGAACAGTTTTAAATTAAGAGGAGATGTTTAGATTACAAAGAAATACTTTGTTGTGAGCATGCTGAAGCACAGGCTGCCCAGAGAGGTTGTGGGTTCCTGGAAATGTTCAAGGCCAGGTTGGATGGGGCTTGGAGCAACTTGGTTTAGTGGAAAGTGTCCCTGGCCATGGCAGGGGAGTGGAACCAGATGATCTCTAAGGTCCCTTCCATTCCAAGCCATTCTGTGATGCTGTGTTTCCATGTTTGTCACAAAAAGTTTAGGAAAGGAAAATGTTTTGACCTGATTTGTGCCAGAATCCAAATCTGTGTTCTCTGATTACATCCCCCAGCCCATCAACCTCCTGTGCATTACATCAAGCAGTCACTATGGTACCAGTGAAGATATTGCCATGAAATATGAATGAGCTGGTTTTGTATTAACTAGGCAGAGTTGGGTTGGAATTGTTGCACCCACAGCTGTTGATGTGACTGCAGCTCACACAGCAGCTGGCCGTGGCTACGTGTGCCAACGCTGTCACTGATGCACACGGATTTTCTGGGAGGTCCTGGCTATTTATTGCCTTTTCCAGGTGAGGAACCAGCTGCTGTGTGAGGGCTGGGTGGCTGCAGCACATCATCACAGGGCACAAGGCTTGTTTGCAGGACCTGAGCTCTCCATCCAGATGGGAACATGGGTGGAGTCCTGTGCAGAGCCTTTGCAAGGCTCCAGGGGATTTAGGTACTTTAACTATTCATTAGCAGTTTAATTAAGCTGGAAAATTACTCTTGGGAGCCTTTGCTGGGAGTTTCCAGGCCATGACATGGTCATGGCTTCATTGGCAGTGGTTGCTCATGGCCAGCAGAGAGTTCTGTGCCAGTGCAGACTTCTCTTAAAATACTTCAAAGTCTCAGAAGTCCAAACCATGATGACAACTCGCTGGCAACTTCCCCTGGGAATCCATCCCAGACTATTTATTTAAAATAATATCAACATTTTTATTTCTGTTGTTACTGATCTGCCTATAATTAAACTATATCTTTGCATGGTTAAATTTTTCATCATTATTTTAGATTAAACATGTCCCAAATTGTCTGAACTCTGGTGTGGATTGGTTCCTCTTGGAGGCACCACACAAAGAGGCTGGAGAGCTGAGCATTGTGAATTGCTGCAGGCCTCAGTGAGGGCAGCACTGCCATCACTCGAAAACCTTCTCCTGCCTGGGGTCACATGAAACCCCCTGTCCTGCCAGCAGCCCGGGTCACCTAAAACAGATTTGTCTTTCCATAGCTGTTGTGTTTCTTTAAAAAAATTTTTTAAAATTAATTACAATCATCAGTGAAACCTCTTGCTATGTTACTGGCCTCTAAAGTTTCCTCTGGAGGAGCTGGGAAGTGTTTAGACGCCCTAAGAAACAACAACCCCAGAAAACAACTTCTTCTTATTTTCTGTGTTTTGCATGGCGGGATTGATCATGGCTCTATTTCTCCACTGCAGGTGCTGTCTGTGTTTCTCTCCTGCAGGATCCCCCCTCCATCCCCCAGCCACGGACAGCAGCACGGCAGCTCAGCAGCACAGCAGAGCAGCAGCTCAGCAGCACAGCAGGACAGAGAGCAGCAATGCAGCAGCACAGCAGCACGGCAGCTCAGCAGCACAGCAGAGCAGCAGCTCAGCAGGACAGAGCGCAGCAGCATCTTCGGCTCCATCCACACGGGGATGGGGACCGAGCCGAGGGGGTTTGATTCCATCCGGCCCTTCCTGAGCGCCTCCCCCCCAAACCAAGGGATTTTCCCGGTGGGGTCACAGTCCCCGGCTGTCTCACAGCCCCACTTCTTGTGCCGTGCCACCATCTAGTGGCGGCTGCACCGAGGGGAAGCGACCCCGGCCTGCCGGGGGCCCCGGGGCTGCGCGGTCCAGCTCCATCCCGGGGGATGCTGGTGGCAGCACCCTGCTGATGGAGCATTAAACCCAGCAGGTTAACCAGGATAAGGCTTCTCCCACGTGTGTCATCCTGCTCTGTTCCCTCCCGTAATGAGATTTTCGAAGTGCTTGATGTGGTTCTGTGGCTCCGGGCCCTGCTCAGCTTTGGGAAGGTGGTAAAGGAGGAGGGACTGGGAAAGGGGGTGGGGAGGGGGCAGGGGGAGAGCAAAGGTGAGCAATGCACACACACACATATATTCACATGCACGCACACAGCCCTAGGGGAGTTTCCAGGCATTTATCTCCCAGGAAGGCTCAGGAGCCTTTTTTGCCCCCTGTGAGCAAAGCCAAGTGTTGAGCCAGAACAC